GGCTGCTATGGGTTACTAGAAAGAACGTTTCTTACCTTCGCAAAACCACAACGTGATATGCCAATTGCTATTTACCCTTCATAACGACCCTTTTCATCGAATCTGTTCCGACTAAAGTGGGAGAGACTAGCACCCGCTAGCCACCTTATGCACCAAGTGCATGTCAGTCGGTGGAACCTGTCTCACGTAAGAGTACGTGTAAGGTCGGTCCGGGCCGCTTCATCCCACAATATCGTCGAAACAAGATTGGACTAGTAACAGTAAGCATATTGAACAAAATCAACGCCCACAACTACTTTGTGTTCTACTCGTGCAAGGAATCTACGTAATAGACCTAGCTCATGATGCCACTGTTGGGGAACGTAGCAGAAATTCAAAATTTTCCTACGTATCACCAAGATCTATCTATGGAGAAACCAGCAACGAGGGGAAGGTGAGTGCATCTACATACCCTTGTAGATCGCTAAGCGGAAGCATTCAAGAGAACGGGGTTGAAGGAGTCGTACTCGTCGTGATCCAAATCACCGGAGATCCTAATGCCGAACGGACGGCACCTCCGCGTTCAACACACATACAGCCCGGTGACGTCTCCCATTCCTTGATCCAGCAAGGAGAGAGGGAGAGGTTGAGGAAGACTCCATCCAGTAGCAGCACGACGGCGTGGTGGTGGTGGAGGAGTGTGGCAATCCCGCAGGGCTTCGCCAAGCACCGCGGGAGAAGAGGAGAACTTGGGAGAGGGGGAGGGCTGCGCCAGAACTTTTTTGTGCGGCTGCCCTCCCACCCACCACATATATATAGGGGCGAGGGAGAGGGGGGGCGGCCCCCTCAGATCCAATCTGAGGAGGGGGCGGCGTCTAGGGGGGTTGCCTTGCCCCCCAAGGCAAGGGCGCGTCCCCCTTTAGGGTTTCCCCAAAGCCCTAGGTGCCTTGGGCCTTGGTGGGGGGGCGCACCAGCCCACCTGGGGCTGGTCCCCTCCCACACTTGGCCCATGCAGCCCCCTGGGGCTGGTGGCCCACTTGGTGGACCCCCGGGACCCTCCCGGTGGTCCCGGTACATTACCGATAAAACCCGAAACTTTTTCGGTGACCAAAACAGGACTTCCCATATATAAATCTTTACCTCCGGACCATTTCGGAACTCCTCGTGACGTTCGGGATCTCATCCGGGACTCCAAAAAACATTCGGTAACCACATACAAACTTCCTTTATAACCCTAGCATCATCAAACCTTAAGTGTGTAGACCCTACGGGTTCGGGAACCATGTAGACATGACCGAGACGTTCTCCGGTCAATAACCAACAACGGGATCTGGATACCCATGTTGGCTCCCACATGTTCCAGGATGATCTCATCGGATGAACCACGATGTCAAGGAATCAATCAATCCCGTATACAATTCCCTTTGTCTATCGGTATTGTACTTGCCCGAGATTCGATCGTCGGTATGCCGATACCTTGTTGAATCTCGTTACCGGCAAGTCTCTTTACTCGTTCCATAACACATCATCCCGTGATCAACCCCTTGGTCACATTGTGCACATTATGATGATGTCCTACCGAGTGGGCCCAGAGATACCTCTCCGTTAACCGGAGTGACAAATCCCAGTCTCGATTCGTGCGAACCCAACAGACACTTTCGGAGATACCTGTAGTGCACCTTTATAGACACCCAATTACGTTGTGACGTTTGGTACACCCAAAGCATTCCTTCAGTATCCGGGAGTTGCACAATCTCATGGTCTAAGGAAATGATACTTGACATTAGAAAAGCTTTAGCATACGAACTACGATCTTTGTGCTAGGCTTAGGATTGGGTCTTGTCCATCACATCATTCTCCTAATGATGTGATCCCGTTATCAACGACATCCAATGTCCATGGTCAGGAAACCGTAACCATCTATTGATCAACGAGCTAGTCATCTAGAGGCTTACTAGGGACTTGGTGTTGTCTATGTACCCACACATGTATTTGAGTTTCCTATCAATACAATTATAGCATGGATAATAAATGATTATCATGAACAAGGAAATATAATAATAACTAATTTATTATTGCCTCTAGGGCATATTTCCAACAGGAGAAGCTTCTTCGCTCACCCACCCGAATCAACTCCCCCCTGGCTCGCAGGCACCGAAAACCCCAATGCACTACAAGAAATATGTCAACTTGTGACCTTGACTATTGGTCACTGAAAGGTCATTGTTTTTCATTTGCGACCTTTTTGTGACCAAAAACAGAAGGTCAAAAGCTGGCGCTCGTAAACTAAAATTAACGACCTTCTCGGTGAGAAGGTCGTAGACGTTTACGACCAAAATATGCCTATTGTTTTGTTTTGGTCACTAGCAGCCTCCCCAGGCCACGTAGGCATCCGACATGGCAATCTGATGTGGCACAAGAATCAGCCCGGTCCAATTCGATTTTCTACATGGGCCTAGCCCAACAATTCAGTCATTTTAATGTATATTTTTCCTGTGCTTTTATTAGCTACAAGGGTCTGACCCAGTAATTCGGCCCATGTATTTTTTTAGGCAATCCCTTTTAATATATGTATTTTATGTTAATTTCGGTTAGCTACATGGGCCTAGCCTACAATTTGACCTTTTTATTTTCTAGCGCACAACATTTTGCAGTCAATTTATTTTTTATTTCCAGCTTTTTTTTCCCAGCTCCAGATTACAGATGGGTCCCAAATGTCAGATTTTTCACAGCTTATTAATAAGCAATATATATGTATATATCAAATAGATAGAACAGATAAAACATATGAAAATCTTCAAATAACAACTAAAATAAGTTTATTACAATATGATATACAAAACAGAACACGTGAAACTACATACACTCATTCACATCACAACAACCAGTTTCCATACACTCATTCACATCACATCAACCAGTTTAACCATCGAATCTTGCATACCCAGGAACTTCCTCTTATGTGCAGACCTACAGGAAGGGCATCTCTCCAGCATCATCTCTCTCCAGCATTCACTGCTTCGCACTTGGCTTCACGGCTTCACACTCAGAAAAATTAGGACTGGAGCTCCTGTAAAAGAGTGAACATAAAGGGAAAAAAATTAGGCTTGGAGCTCCTGAAAAAGAGTGAACGCATAAAGGAAAACAAGTAAGAAAACTATACAGGAAAACAAGTAGAGTGTATTGAGCATATATATGTTGTCCTTGGAAGGCAATGAAACCAGATTATCATAAGTCATGGTTTAAACATCAAACCAGATTTACAAGTGAGCATGGCTAGAGTTCACAGAAACGATCCAAATCCAAAACTTAGGGGTGGCTAGGAGAACAGAGAGGGGACGCACCGCTGTAGCAAAGGGCGGCGTCGAGGACTTAGTCACCGTCAATGCTTCTGGTGCGCTCCAGTCGCCTACATGTCAGGAGTTTTGAGACTCGTGAAGATACATCTATGCACCAAAGCAGCAGTTCATTTACCAAAAAAATAAAAGTTCAAGCATCATGGTACCAACACCAATTTATCGACAACTCAACACCGAAAAAGTAAGTTAAATTGAAAATGCAATACTCTGACCATTTCATCCTCAATACACATAATGTGTTGTGCACTCTACACATAACAAGCAGGCTACTAGAAATTACTACAAGGAGAACACACCACATACACAGAATTCACACTTGACAATTACAATAGGCACTGCACATATATGGAGAGGTGTTTAAAAATAAAACTCAGGATTTAGGCATGCACTGGGCATGTATGTATACAAATTGCTCAACTACACGAGCGTAGCCAGTTCGCTGTCACATACAGAAAAGCATGATTCAGATCAACACCATAACAGAGATTGCTAAACCTCAACAGTGGCGTACTTATATACAAACAGAGATGATAGCGACACCGTACTACTACTTGAAAGATTGGCAGTGAGGCTTACCCATTGGCCAAATAGTCAGATGAGGATACCTCATTGTACTTCATGAGCATGCATGGGGGCCAAACAGGAATATCAAAGCAATTGCATCAAGATTCTATCTTCTGCAAATCACAATAAACTCCAGTCACATTGTGTAGTATCAAATATAAGCAACAATGCAGCAGCTGAAACCACTACCTTACTAATTTGTAGAATACCTCATGATGTAATCAAATATTTAGTTAAGGAATGGGTTATTGATTACAAGCTAAGTAAAATGCAAACATACTCATATTGTAGTGATGGATCCCAACTCATTTAAATTAGAGTAGTTCGTCATTAGCTCATTCGCGTTGCAGAAGTAAAAGCATGTGGCACACACATGATGAAATGAAATGCAAAAAATAATGCTTCAGTTTATTTGAAAAAAATGTGTGTGACACAGTTCTTTTGGGTTGAGCTATCCCAGCAAAAACAAATTTCAATTCTGAAGCTCACTCACCATGTGCACGTGAGGCTTGGCCATGTCAATGTGTGCTCGTGAACATGTGTATGTGAACAGGAACAAGTTTATACTACTGGTGTGAATCCGGACCCTGAAGTAAGGAGATTCAGACATTAACAAACCCCTGAAGTTGTAGGATGGTTAGATCCCGTCAACATATTCACGGGATTCAGACAGCAAAGCTGAACTGGACTTGTGCAGGGCCATTAATACAGCCTCCTGAAGTGCGAAAACCAATAATCGCCTGGCAACCATCAAGGGCAACCATCCATAGGCACAACGCTAAATAGCAAGAAAGTTAATACAATGTAAACGGATCAAGTACAGACTGATAACTCATAATGACAATATTGCCTAGCATGCATCTTTCAGGGATTAAAATGGCAAGATCACGAAATCCTACATCAACCAGATTGAATGACCCAAACTAAACCATCATCAATCTCTCGATGGACACACTGCACAAGTCCATATACTTTAGGCATGTTATATATTGCGACTACACTTGGAATTCTATAACATAAATCCTAGTCATTCTCAAGGCGTAAGACAAAATACAACACACATGCTAGAGTAAAATCACACAGAGCAAAGCAACAGCCTTAAACCAACATCATCAGCGATAGTGCAGCAGATGCTAGCTTTAGATGCTGCTCGGGTACATGAACACTCTGACCTTGCGCCCGTGCACACAACGCAAATCAACAAACAGCCTCAGCAAAAAAGCACCATCAAGAAATCAAGCAGTGGATCAAAAACTAAGGGTGGGCAGGCACTGACCATGGGCTCGGCGGGGAGGTTGGACTTGAACTGGGCGCGGACGATGCCGGAGTTGCCGTGTGGGTGGGTGATCTTGCCCCAGAGGCAGCGGTAGCAGGTGCCGCTGCTCTTGGTCTTGGCCTTGTACACGTACGCCAGGCGCTTCCCGGCATACCACGCCACGTCCTCCTTGGTGTTCACCCCCTCGACCTGCACCAGCGACGTGCTCTCGTACTGGTTCGACTTCGACCTGCAGATCAACCCCCACATCGCCATTAGCACGCCGCCCAATCTCACCATGAAATGAATTGCCAGATCCGGCGAGAGCATGGCCAAGAACGGGGCTGCTCACCTCTTGAAGCCGAGGATGGGGCCCCGGACGTAGAGCCTGACACGCTGCCCCGTGCGGCCCTTCACCATTGCGGCTGCCACCGCTTCGGGTTTTGATAGGATGGGGACACGGGAGGGGAGGGGAGGGGAGGGGGAGAAGGTCAGGCGGGGTGGGGGTGCGGGAGGGATGGGCGGTGCGGCGGCGAGGGGAGGCGAGGCGGCGAGGGGAGAGGGGTGGTGGATCTGGATCTGGAGAGGGGTTGGGAGACGACGCTAGGGTTCGCGTGCGGGAGGGAGTTCCTTTTTTTCAGACAAAGAAGGGGGTGAGGGAGAAAGGGCTGTCGTCGGATCTGGATCTAGAGAGGAGCATCCGACGGTGCTGATGGCAAGATCCGCGTGACATGCTCATGGACCAATCAGAGCCCAATACACGTTATGACCATCTAAATTGGTCTTAATCAATTAAAAATAAGATGTTGAATCATATAAACAGTTTTATGATATGAGAATTCAAAAAAATAAAAACATTCTCATTGTGTCAGCAAATGTGACCTAGTTTTTTAGGGAAACTAACAAACTTGGAATTGGAATAAGACAAATATCTTTAAAAAGTGTTATGAGAAATCAGTTTTTAGGGTGGAAAATCATTTTTTATTTTCGGAGTGACAAAATTCTTTTTTGTGAAGAATCTACCACTTTCAAAATGGCACCACACTATTTTCCAAACCAATAAGACAACATTTCATGTAAAGTTGACCAAATCTTAAAATGTAAAATGCTTTTAATTCACCTCTCATCAAAAAGACAATTTATGTTTCAAAAAAGAATCCCTGAGCATTCTTTTTTTCTACTTTTTCGCATGAAAATTTCAAAAAATGATCTCATATTGCATAAAAGGGTGCATTTTGGAATAGCAAACAATGTTGCCTAACGAAGTTTTAATTTTCTTTGGACGAAAAATCATTTTCCATTTTTTGACTGCCCAAAATGAGTGTTTTTTAAGGACCTACCAAATAATTTTTGCAAAATTAAACCAAATAAATTTTATAAAATACTAGGCCATATTTAATGCACAATTGACCAAATGGTTGGTTTCAAAAGTTTTATCCACCATTCATGAAAAAGACAAATTTTCGCCGGTTCAACTGGAAGCGGGTCAAATTTGAACTGTGGCGGCCTCATAGTTTGCTCTTTACTTTTTACAAAAATCATTTCTAGGTACATAAGTATCTATTTAATCAGATAAACATCAAAAGTTTTCCAAGATTCAACCACTAGCTAGGAACGGTCAAGTCCGTCGTTTTGACCGCATTTTGAAACGGGCATAAAAAATTCAAAAAAATCAAAAAAAATGGAAAACCTTCACATTGTGTCATTATATGTGACCAAGTTTCGAGGAAAAATAATGAACTTGTAATACGGAAATTATTTTAAAAAGGTGTTCTCAGAAATGAGCTATCATGCGTGAAGATTCATGGCTTTCAAGCCAAATGATCAATCTTATGGCCAAATTCATGGTATAGTTTGTTCAAATGATCTCATATTGTGCACAAGGGTGCATCTTGGAATGGCAAACAATGTTGCCTAAGGAAGTTTTCATCTTCTGTGCATGGAAAAATCATTTTCCATTTTCCGACTGCCCCAAATGAGGTTTTTTTGTGAAGGACCTACCAAATAATTGTTGCAAAATTGGACCAAATCAATTTTATAAAATACTAGGCCATATTTAATGCATAATTGACAAAATGTTTGGGTGTCAAAAGTTTTGATCCACCTCTCGTGAGAAAGACAAATTCCCGCCGATTCAGCTAGAAGCGGGTCAAATTTGAACTGCAGCTGCCTCATAGTTCGCTATTTATTTTTTCCAAAAATAATTTCTAGGTACCTAAGTATCTATTTAATCAGATAAACATCAAAAGTTTTCCAAGATTCAACCACTAGCTAGGAATGATCAAGCCCACCGTTTTGACGGCATTTTGAAACGGGCATAAAAAATTCAAAAAAAATCAAAAAATTAGAAACCCTTCGCACTGTGTCATTATATGTGACCAAGTTTCCAGGAAAAATAATAAACTTGTAATACGGAAATTATTTTAAAAAAGTGTTCTAAAATATGAGCTATCATGCGTGAAGATTCATGGCTTTCAAGCCAAATGATCAATCTTATGGTCACATTCATGTCATAGTTTGTTCAAATGATCTCATGTTGTGCACAAGGGTGCATCTTGGAATGGCAAACAATGTTGCCTAAGGAAGTTTTCATTTTCTGTGCACGGAAAAATCATTTTCCATTTTCCGAGTGCTCCAAATGAGATTTTTTTGTGAAGGACCTACCAAATAATTGTTGCAAAATTGTACCAAATCAATTTTATAAAATACTAGGCCATATTTAATGCACAATTGAAAAAATGTTTGGGTGTCAAAAGTTTTGATCCACCCCTGGTGAAAAAGACAAATTCCCGCCGATTTAGATGGAAGCGGGTCAAATTTGAACTGCAGCTGCCTCATAGTTTGCTATTTATTTTTTCCAAAAATCATTTCTAGGTACATAAGTATCTATTTAATCAGATAAACATCAAAAGTTTTTCAAGATTCAACCACTAGCTAGGAACGGTCAAGCCCGCCGTTTTGACCGCATTTTGAAACGGGCATAAAAAATTCAAAAAAATCAAAAAATTGGAAAACCTTCGCATTGTGTCATTATATATGACCAAGTTTCTAGGAAAAATAATAAACTTGTAATACGGAAATTATTTTAAAAAAGTATTCTCAAAAATGAGCTATCATGCGTGAAGATTCATGGCTTTCAAGCCAAATGATCAATCTTATGGCCACATTCATGGCATAGTTTGTTCAAATGATGTCATATTGTGCACAAGGGTGCATCTTGAAATGGCAAACAATGTTGCCTAAGGAAGTTTTCATTTTCTCTGCACGGAAAAATCATTTTCCATTTTCCGAGTGCTCTAAATGAGGTTTTTTTGTGAAGGACCTAGCAATTAATTGTTGCAAAATTGGACCAAATCAATTTTATAAAATACTAGGCCATATTTAATGACCAATTGACAAAATGGTTGGGTGTCAAAAGTTTTGATCCACCTCTGATGAAAAAGAAAAATTCCCGCCGATTCAGTTGGAAGCGGGTCAAATTTGAACTGCAGCTGCCTCATTGTTTGCTATTTATTTTTTCCAAAAATCATTTCTAGGTACATAAGTATCTATTTAATCATAGAAACATCAAAAGTGTTTTCAAGATTCAACCACTAGCTAGGAACGGTCAAGCCCGCCGTTTTGACCGCATTTTGAAACGGGCATAAAAAATTCAAAAAAAAATCAAAAAATTGGAGAACCTTCGCATTGTGTCATTATATGTGACCAAGTTTCGAGGAAAAATAATAAACTTGTAACACGGAAATTATTTTAAAAAGGTGTTCTCAAAAATGAGCTATCATGCATGAAGATTCATGGCTTTCAAGCCAAATGATCAATCTTATGGCCACATTCATGGCATAGTTTGTTCAAATGATCTCATATTGTGCACAAGGGTGCATCTTGGAATGGAAAACAATGTTGCCTAAGGAAGTTGTCATTTTCTTTGGACGAAAAAACCATTTTCCATTTTTCGAGTGCCCAAAAGTAGTTTTTTTTTTGTGAAGGACCTCCCAAATAATTGTTGAAAAATTGGACCAAATCATTTTTCTAAAATACTAGGACATATTTAATGCACAATTGATGACATGGTTGGGTGTAAAAAGTTTTGATCCACCTCTCGTGAAAAAGACAAATTTCTACCGATTCAGCTAGAAGCGTGTCAAATTTGAACTGCAGATGCCTCATAGTTTGCTATTTATTTTTTCCAAAAATCATTTCTACTTACATAAGTAACTATTTGGTCATAAATACATGGTTTGGTGGCGATACGTCGAGATTTGGGCGGTGGCCGAGGCCCCCAACTCTAGAGCGCGTAAACTCGCATGCCCGCCGCGTGGTCACCGCGTGACCGTGGCGTTGCCATGTGTTCTGGGCAGCCTATGCATGTCTAGTGGGTTGGGCACTCCCCAGGTAGGTGCTAGGAATAAAATTACAACATAAGATTCTCACAAGGAGACCGATCGATGCTCAAACATGAATTAGCAGCCAAGTGTTTGATTAGCGGTACGAGAAATGTACATGGCTAACGGGCATGAGTTTTGGCTGAGGATGATCAGTTACTAAGAATACCGTCTTCACAAATTTTCAGCTCAAAAGGAGGAGCCTAGGTGGTACTTGCTTTGCAAAGTACCACACTGGACATAAATATGAATGTTGAAGGTGTGCTCAAAATAATGAATGGATTGAGGTGGCATTTGGTGGAGGATGGTTATTTGGACATAGGAAAGCACCATAGAAAATGGATACTATTTGGACATGCCAAAGTGGCACTTCCTTCACAAAGTGTTGTTCTGAACAGAATAGGAAAATGAATATTGTGGAGTTATTTTTGAACTAGGCAAGGAAGGTTTTTGACATATTTGATGAAGATATGATCCAAACAATTTATGAGAATTTTTTTGGGAATTTTTGGAATAACAGAAATATAGGTTGCTTCACAACCTAGGGCAAAAATGACACATGGACATGACACATAGGCAAAACTGATGAGATGGCGCCTAGTCATCACAACCCACCATAATCTACAAGGTTATGACCATCTATATTGGTTGTTAACAACTAGAAATAAGGCAGCGGACCAGCAGTGTTTGCTTTATGACCATTTCATGTAAGGAAATAACAACCTTTCTGACCAAAATGGTCGCAATGGTTTAGGGTTTGGAGCCCCCCGAACAGCTTTTGACCAATTGGTCTCAAATGGTCATAGATCTATGACCAATCCTTCCAGGGTCATTGACAGAGGGTCACTAGTTGACATATTTCTTGTAGTGATGGCAGAACCGACTGACACGCAG